TCTAACATTCTGTGATTCTGTGAAAACAAGATCCCTTACATATCTGTAGAAGATTTTAATTTGTCCAGGAAAAAGCAGAATGGGTCTAAGCTCTTGATTGATGCATGCTTCTGAATGGACTTAAGTCCCCAATTTGAGACTAAGCAGTCATTTCAGTTTGAAGTGATGCGTAAAGTTTTAGCTGTAGTACTTACATGAGGAAGATTCGTGTTTGATGGGTATGTCAGAAGCAGCGTGGAGTATTAAAGGCAAGCAGGATATGGTATTCTTTTGTGAAATAAACTTAAAACGCATGTGGTAGAAAATGTTTCGTAATTGAGCTGTTTAAAACAACATATGGTTATTGTGACTATATAAGACCAGCGTGTGAAGTTTCTGGATTCCGGTTCTGACAGTTTTGACACCTTACTGATTTGTGTGTGTGTTCTTCATTATACAATTGCTTGACAGTGGGGAATGGGAATCCTTTTTTTTTTTTTTTTTAAGAAAAAAGGGAAAATAAAAAGACAAGCTAGCACTACAATGAGTTCGTGTTTTATCTGATCCAATAAGTTTGTGGCTTCTTTGAATAATATTAGTATATTTGAATAATATATAGTATGCATGTTGTACAGTGTCAGAGGCAGCATAGGAACAGATAATGACATTGCCATTGCAGTCTTCAAGTGACTGTTTGGAAATGGCTGTTTGTGTAGTTATAATCCTATTCTTATTGTAAGTTTGGGATTTTTAAAATGTTTTTGATAAAAACACTTGTAGACTAGACACGCAGCTGTGGCAGCGTGCTTTTGTAGCACAAGTGGAGGAATCGCTAATGGCAATGAAACATAAGTCGTGCATAACTCTCACAAATTACTGTGAAGTAGATATGATTTTTTAAAAAATTTTTTTTCTCTTCAAGTGTCTGTGCAACTCCCTTTACATTAATTAGAACTTTATTAGGGGTTTTGGGCGTGGTGCCCAACTGGCTGCTGCTAGATCAGTTTCATAATAATAGGTGTTTGATTCAGAGAACATAAATTATCTTGTGTCAGGAGTTAAATATTAAACCTCTGGAGCATAGTAAGTGTTTGGGTTTTTTTCAGAAAGTTTTAATCATAAGTGTACATGTGAAGAGCACAAATGTTAGAAAATAGAATTATTTTCTGCGTGTTTGGTTTTTTAAAAGGTCTAGCGGCTTTTTCATGGAAAGACCAAGTGAAAACTGTGAATTTCTCTTCCATTAATAAAGTAACTTTCTGTTCCTTTCCAGTTTAAAGATATGCAGCTTTTCATATTAACATTCTTTTTTTTCCTGTCTTTGAGAAATTCAAAATCTAAAACACCACTCTGCTGTACATATTATTAGTTATTTTTGAAGGCATAAGGGAAGAAATGCTGAGTTTGAGACCTGTCAGCTTGGTGTACTAGTGTCTTGTTTAGAAGTCTGTGGTTTGTTATTGTTGTTTGTTTGCTTATTTCCTAATGAATGGGGGGTCTTTTAACTTGGGGGCTCTGTCTTTTAACTTGATTTAGATTTGTGGGATCTTTATTTATGGCAGCTTTCTAACCCATCTTAAACAGTATTTCTTCCACATCGTAAATTTCTCAAGAACAGCCTTCAGCCACAGAACTGGTTTTGAGAACTTCAAAATATGTGTTCCAGTATTCCAGAACATAGCCATTTAAACAACAGATCAGTAGAATTAAAAATGAGGTGTTGGTATATAGTTCAAAATAGTGGATTCTGATCATTGTTCCGTTGATATAATGTCCTATCTCTAACATACACATGATTTTTTTTTCTTTCAGTGCAGATCAATTAGAATCAAGAATGCAGAAACAGAATACCCTGCTTGAAAATGAAAAAAATAGTAGAAAATAGGATTTGCTGTATCTTAATAAGCTCTTGATACGTCTGTTTCCTTAGATTGCCTGTGGTGTTATCCTGCACCCAATACTCACAGGAGAGTAAAAAGGTCTACAATAAATCTAGTCAGTTTTATGACTTGGAACTAGTGATGGGCAGCAATTTTCCTTTATCAGGGTGGGGTTTTTTTCCAAGCAAAAGGTTTAACAGCATTTTTGGTGTGCATCACTTATGTCTTCTTATAACTATGGAAAAATGTCATTCAGTTTTGATGTACAAAAGTGTCATTTACTGCCAGTGTAATATAAATATCTGTATGTGCTGTGGGGAGCAATATGAGATTTCCTCTGGCCATCACTTTCCGTTGCTCACTTCCAGTAACTGTGAAACAGACTGTGTAGGTTACTTAATGTTACCATCTTTTCAGTCATACTCTATTTCTTATGTTGACAGATATTTTTACGGTACTTTTGTTTTCATTTTACATTCGAAGTTGTGTTTCTTACAGATGTGAGAAATTATTTAATGCTGTGTATGTGGTAAACAGATATTCTTTATCCAGCACAAAGCTTGAAGGCTGTTTTCTAGAAAAGACGTCTTTGTCGTATCATCTGTATCTTGTTGCGAAGAATATTTTCACGATTTTCCTAATGTGATAATCTTGGGCCACAATGCAAAGTTCATACTGTTAAAGGCACTACTCACACTTGCACACTCAGTTTTGTGTTTATTTTTTGATTGTATAGTTTTAAAAAGATGGTTTTGTATTTTTGAAGAATGTTTGTAACTTTATTACAGACCTTGTCATTGTAATTCATTTAGTAGCAGTGGTTTTCATACCAGACACTCCAGGAAGAAATAATAGATTCTTTCAAGAAAACTATTGATAAGCCAAAACTTAGATGTCAGTTTTGCCTGGATGCTGTCTGCTCAATGGTCAGATTGTTGTGTAGACTGTAATTGGCCTAGAACAGGGATGACGTATAAAGAAGTATGTGTCAGATGCTATTAAACAAGACAGCTTTGCCTTAATCCCTAGGAAAGTGATGCAACAAGTAGTCCTGGAAACAGTTTCCAAACATGTTACAGCAAGAAGGCAACCAGCAGCAGTCACCATGAATTTATGTAGGAAACGGCATTTTACAACAAAACGATGCATGCAGTGGATGAGTAGAGTGCAATGGATGTTTTTTATCTGCAATTTAGAAAGGTTTTTGACACTGTCTCCCATCACGTCTTTATAGACAAATTAAATTTGCACTAGATAGACAGCGAGATTAACTGAAAACTGGCTGGACTGCCAAACTCAAAGGGTTGTGATCAGTGACACAAAGTCTAGCTGGAGGCCAGTCGCTGTCATCGTACCAGAGAGGTTGATACTAGGCGAGTACTTTTGAGCGCCTTCGTTGACGACCTGCATTATTAACAATGCAGGAAATTGGAAGGAGAGCTTTGTGCACGAGGTGGTTGTGCTGCTGTTCAATGGGACCTTGACAGGCTGGAGAAATGGGCTGAGAGAAATCTCCTGAAATTCCAGAAAGGGAAATGCAAAGTCCTGCACTTAGGAAGGAGTAACTCCCTGCACCAGCATGGGCTGCGTGCTCCCCAGCTGAAAAGCAGCTTTGGAGTAAAGGATGCGGGGGCTCTAGGTGGACAAGCTGGCCATGTGCCAGCGGTGTGCCCGTATCGCAAAGCAGGCCAACAGCATCCTGGCTGCATTAGGAAGAGTGGTGCCAGCAGGCTGTGGGAGGCGGTTCTTTGGGCTCCCCAAGTGGCAAGCAGACATGGGCTTAGAATGAGTCCAGCAAAGAGGCACAAAGGCAATGAAGGGTCTGGAGCATCTCATATGAGGAGAGGCTGAGAGGGATGAAAATTGCTTTGGCTGGAGAGCAGAAGCTGCAGGGAGTTCCGATCTATGTATATAAATAGCTGATGGGAGGGTTCAAATAAGATGGAGCCAGGCTTATCCCAGTGGTGTTCAGCAGAAGGACAAGAATCGTGGGGCATAAACTGAAATACAGGAAGCTCGTTCAAACTGAAGAAAATGTTATTGTCAGGGTGGCTGAAGACTGGAGAAATTTGCCCAGACAGGTGATAGAATCTCCATCCGTGAAGGTGGTCTGAGCCTGACTGGACCCAGTCCTGGGCAGCCTGCTGTAGTTGATCCTGCTTTGAGCAGGGGGGTTGGAGAGGAGGATCTCTGGAGGTCTCTTCTGACCTCAACTGATGCTCTTGATTCTGTGGCTAGGGTTACTTTAGATTAAACTCACTCTCTTTTCCTATTTTCCTTTTTTAGTGGTAGATTGGTTGAAAGGCCTCAGACAGAGGGTGGTGGTCAATGGCTCTATGTCCAGGTGGAAGCCGGTAACGAGCGGTGTCCCCCAAGGGTCTGTCTTGGGACCGGTGCTCTTTAACATCTTTATTAATGACATTGATGTGGGAATTGAGTGCACCCTCAGCAAGTTTGCTGACGACACCAAGCTGAGTGGTGCGGTTGATACGGTGGAAGGAAGGGAGGCCATTCAGAGGGACCTCGACAGGCTGGAAAGCTGGGCTCAGGTGAACCTAATGAGGTTCAACACAGCAAAGTGCAAGGTTTTGCACTTGGGCCGGAAGAACCCCAGGCACCGGTACAGGCTGGGAGGAGTGGTCCTTGAGAGCAGCTCGGCAGAGAAGGACCTGGGGATCCTGATGGACGAGAGACTTAACATGAGCCAGCAGTGCGCTCTGGCAGCTCGGAAAGCAAATGGGATCCTGGGCTCCATCAGGAGAGGGGTAGTCAGCAGGGATAGGGAGGTGATTGTCCCTCTCTACTCGGCTCTTGCGAGGCCCCATCTGGAGTACTGTGTCCAGGTGTGGAGCCCTCAGTACAAGAAAGACATAGAGATTGTGGAGAGGGTCCAGAGGAGGGCCACAAAGACGATCAGGGGGCTGGAGCACCTCCCCTATGAGGACAGGCTGAGGGAGTTAGGCTTGTTCAGCCTGGGGAAGAGAAGGCTGCGGGGTGACCTCATTGCAGCCTTTCAATACCTGAAGGGAATCTACACCCAGGAGGGGACTAAACTCTTTGAAAGGGCCGACAATAGCAGGACTAGGGGAAATGGATACAAGTTGAAGGAGGGAAGATTTAGGTTGGATGTTAGGGGGAAGTTCTTTACTAGGAGAGTGGTTAGGCCCTGGAACAGGCTGCCCAGGGAGGTTGTGGATGCCCCGTCCTTGGAGGTGTTCAAGGCCAGGTTGGACGGGGCCCTGGGCAACCTGATCTAGTAAATGTGTATGTTTGGTGGCCCTGCCAGGCAGGGGGGTTGGAACTACATGATCCTTGAGGTCCCTTCCAACCCGGGTCATTCTATGATTCTATGATTCTATGATTAGCAGAGAAGAATAATTATTTTGAGGATATTAGTAAGGTGACAATTATTTATTGCAAGAAAAGTGCCCCGTAAAGCCATGAGAAACCTCTTTATTGGATGAATGTGGCCATTCCTTCAGCTGTACTGCACTAAATCAACATCCTACTACAGTACTCATTGAATGGCACTCTGTATTTGGGGTTAGAATAGGACATTCCTGTGGTTTTAACGTTCATAAATCCCACACATTTGATGAAATTATGCATCGAACCTGTTGGTCTTTTGAGCACTTTCTGTGTAGCTTGCACTGATTGCTTCTGTTCATCAATTCTGTTACTTCTTGAGAGTAAAGGTTGATCACAAGTCACTTTATGGCAATTTATTTGTTGAGAAGACAGCTGAATTTTCTTCAAACTTGATTTGTCTGTTTAAAGAGTCATCCTCTGTGGTTCATGTTTATGTATGTATTAGAACAGTAACCTATTTTACAGCTTTTTAAAAATTCTGTGTATTAATAGCAGCTCTGTTTTGACTGGGGGTTTTGGCTTTTCAAGATGCCATGCCTTATTTAATAGAAGGCAAAGACACATCATTTGTTTGTAGTAGTAAGACCGTTCTATTAAAGGGAGAGCATCTGGTGAGCAGTCTTCATCACTAGAGGATTATCTGAATATTTGCTGCTTGCATAGGGTTTACTTGAGATAGGAGTTAACTTGCATATGGTGATTTCTGGTGTTGCCGGCTTTCCTCTGTAGTCAGACAATTCCAGAAGGTGGTTTAGCGTGCTTGTTAGACTCCAGTAGCTGAGAAGAATCATATAAGTAAAATGTAATAAGTCATACCATTTAAATGGTATTGCCTGGCAACGATAATATTATTACTACAGTATGCTATGGAATAGAGATGGCCACAGTGGTATTACTACTTCTAACTGAGTTATGATATAGAACAGAGTTTTTCCATAGTCTTTGTTTTCATGGTTTGGCTTCTCTGATGTCATTAAATAAACCCCATAAAATTCAGTGTAGCAGGTTATAGCAAATCCAATAAATCTTCCTGATGGCCTTTGGCAAGTCATTTTACCAGACTGACTCTTCAGTGAATGTGATATTCCACAATTCTTTCTGAGGACATTAAAGGTGCTCACACATCTGTCAGGAAAAAAGTATTATTCTTTTAACTAACATTTTTTCCCCTTTATGGTTTATGTCTGATATAGGACATACTTACAATAAAATACTAAAATATCTTATGTGTAATATCCATTACATAATATCTGACCAAATTGTTTTCCTTCTTACTGCAGTAGTTTAATTCACTACAGAAATATTCAAAGCTGCTTCCAATAATTTTAATTTTTTTGATGTTCAAAGCTATTGTTAATAATGTGCAGTATCTCTTACATGTTACCTGTGATCCCAGAGGATCATTGAACAATTAAATCTTGTGTACAAGTTATATTAAAAGTATTTGAAATGAATTAGTCTAACAAAAAATGTTAACTCTTTGGTGATACGCAGTATAATACAAGGTAAGAAATCTCAGCAGTCACTTTCAATAGATGCAGAATATAAATACTTAAATAGGATCTAGCCAGAATATCAATATTATTAATTTTATTTTTCAAAAATAGTGCCAGAGCCTAGCTAGAAGTTATTTATTTTCGTTAATGTTCGTGGAGTAACAGCAGTTAAGAGGAAAGCTAGATTCCTGTTTTAGTCTCAGTCCCTCCCTCCCTCTCTCTTGGGGTGTAAATCAATCCCGTAGATGGAATGCAGATTGTGAAACTTCTAAGACTGGAATGTTTCCAAGAGGTTGGAGGTGAGGAAAAACAGAAGGAGGAAAATTTCATTTTTGTTCACTTTTGGGAAAATATTTTGATTTATTTGGGTACTGAGTTTTTGGATAATCTGATTTGGTCTGAACTTTGAGACTTTCTTCTGCCCAAGAGAGAAATGTGCTGCGAACTAGATGTGCTTTAAAACATGGAGGTATAGTATTCCACAATGCTTAGTGATAAACCTTGTATGATTTATTTTTTTCCAAGTCAAGTTTTTAAACTTAAAAATCTCTTTGTAAAATAAATTCCCAAAAGAAATTCAGGGAAAAAAAATATCCATGTAATGCCTAATGAAATATTGTACTTGATGTCCTTTACAAAAAGGACAAAATGTGAATTCCATTGTCATGCTACTACCCTTTGCCTGTTTTCCTACATAATTTAGTAAGGCTCTTGATTTTAATACTGCCCCGTAAAAGTCTGTAAGAAAATACAGCATCTTAATAACATTAATTTTTATGTGGAGACTGTTTCTATGGTTATTAACATGCTAATATGGACATACAGTACTACACGATCCAGAGATCTTGCACATGATTGTGTGCATGGTATATTTAATGCACTACAACTTACATTTGATTTTGAACTGAACATTTAATTTCTCAATAGTGTGCTTCAAAGCACTCTGAATAGTCTATAGAAAGAACCCTGATTGTTGGCTTGATCTTTGCTGTCAATGTGAATAGTATAAATGTTATATGTTCCATATAAATCTCTAAAACATTTTTATTGTAGGTAGGGTTAAAATGAACTTTACTTTGTCTTCTAGTGAACTGATGCATTAAGGTTGAGTCAAGTTGAATTTGAATTTCATTCTAACTTTATTTAGAAGGAAATTCATTCTATAATGTGTTAAATTTTAAAAGGTCATTAGAGTTGGGGTTTTTTTGTGTGTCTGGTTAATTCTGTGAATCATTGTCCTTGCCAAGAGTTCAAGGATATAAGTAAAAGGAAAAAAAAAAAAAGCAACTTGATTTTTCAGGCATGGGCTTCTTTTCAATAATCTCAGAAATGTGTGTTAAAAGATGCAACATTTGTGCACTTTAGTTAGTAATGAGTGATTATGTGGTGCATAAGAATCTTTTCTGAAATAAATCTATTTCATATCTAAATATTCAAACATAAAAGCAAACAAGCAAGGTCTTTGACTTATGTATTTAAAAAAGCAGCTAAAAATGGTTAATAATAATCCTTCTTTATAATTAATGGAAAATTGTCATAGATACAATTTCTTTTTAGTGAAAGAAATATTATTTGAATCCTCTAAAAAGGGGTGATAATGGCTTGTTATTTAATCTGCACCTAATAGTGTGTACTGGAAGCTGGTGTATCTTCATGCGTGTGTGCATAATTGAAACAGAGAATATCCAACGGAGTTAGTCTTAAAACTTAACAAAGTGATGGAGCGTATCTCTGTACATTGCTGGTGAATTCATTATCTTTGCAATAGCAGTAAAATGCTAGGATTAATATTCCACATTGTGGCATGCTGTAATTCTAGCTAAGCAGACATCTGCAGAGGTCTGTGCTCTTCATGCTAACCATCTGCTCTTGGCTTTGCTTTTACGAGTCTTTCTGTCTAAATATGTCGTTCTAAATGGTGGTATTTTCTGTGCCTTTTGCTGTAATACTTTTGTATCCTGGTAATTTTTATTTTCTGCATGTAATACACATGAATGAAAGATGTATGATAGTTTAATTAGCAGTTGAATCAAAAGTTATTTAATTAAGATGTTATTTAATTTTAGTTTTGCTATCTACTTTTGTATGCTTTTTATTGGAAAAAATTGCTGAAATACTTTTCATAGCAGCATATTCAAGTCATAGGTCATAGACTTAAAGGTGTCTACATACGTGTGTATGTATATATGTGTACATATACGTGCATACATATGAAAATTAACAACAAAATTATGTTCTCAAACTGTTAGTCAACAGCTACCTTACCTCCTCTCCAACTCCAGGAGATGCTAGACATGTTCATGAAATTGGCACGGCCAGATATGTACTGGTCTAAAGCATCAGAAAGCTCATTGTCACTGGGATGGTGTGTGGCACCAGTCACTATCTTGCTTCTTTGCATCTGGTGGCTGTTGGCAGCTTTGAGGAGGAGTAGCGTGCCCGAGTACACAGTGTTGAAGGGAGCTTACAGTGGTCCAGCAGATGATCATTCTAATTGAAAGGGAGTGCATTATACTTGTTAGTACCTTTCTGCACTGTATATCTGGGTGCACTGCCACACATTGTGGAAGTCTTTTCTGCTGGGAAGCCTCCTGCCTTCTTTTCACCATATAGCATGGGTTTCAATAAGAGTATGATAGGGATATCCCCCTGCGCAGTGGCAGTACTTTGTCTTTTCCACGATACATTGCTGTATGGAAGTCCTGCGTAAATGTCTGGATAGATGCTGGACAACAGATCCCAGACCACTATGAGTAACAAAGAGATCCTTGAGTGGATCACTCTGAGAAGTACAAACAGCAGAAAGTGAACTCAGATTGTGTCAGCAAAGCAATAATTAAGGCCATTGTAAAAGATGGTTGCAATTAAGGGGCAGTAGCTATTATTATTCTTTTGATTTTTTTTTGTTAATATCACCTGAATGTTTGAAATAGAATAATGAAATAGTATAAAATAGTATAATAAAATAGTATAAAATAAGATAGTATAAAAACAAACCTTGGGCAGCTGCCTGTTTACTGTAGTTTAGTCGCTTTGTTCGATCCCTCCATTTTCTAATCACGAGAAGACATGGGTTGTCAAAGGAATGCTGGGGATTGTCAAGCAAATGTGCTGTGTATCCAAACTAAGGATGCTGCACCTTTCTTTTAGAATTTTTGACTATGTCTTACTGATTCCAGCAATTACCTGCTCATGAAACTTCCTTACAAGTTCCAATTTCAGAATATTTGCTTTCTTCTCCAGAGGGCTGTGGCTGCTTATTGACTCTGACCCACATCAGGTTCCTGTCCTCATGACCTGCTGAAAAGCCTCTCTGTGGAGCTCCTGTGACTAGAGTTGTGAATGCCGCTACTGGCTTTTTAAGAGGCATGCAGGGAAGTTGGTGCAGAGTTCTGTGATGGCAGGGAGACACGATGCTGCGTATTCTTTAGCATAGGTACCAGGAGATTTGAGGGTGTGTCTGAGTGGCTTTGCAGACAAATTAGGATCAAATGTGCATGAAACTTCCTCATTTTGGCATACAGTGATATCACCAGTGTCATCTTCGTTCTATGGTGTCTTCGTGGTTGCTGCTACAGAACAGCACAGCTGAATTCACCTAATTTCTGATGGTAAGGAAGGAAGTGTTGACTGATTTTACTGCAGTATGAGTAAAAGATATTAGTAAAGTGAGTACTAGTACTTAGTCTCTAGCAGACTGTAGCTTGTTTTCAGCAATTTATGATATGATAATTGTGGTTTAGAAAAATACACAAAAAGTGCACTTAAGTTGATTGTTGATGCATACTTTTTTAAAAAAATGTGCTACATATATCTATTGTGTATCTGTGTAAAACACAGTATATGTTTCTAATTATACCTCTTTCACAGATAACTAAAATAGAAAACATCAGTCATTTGAGTGATCTGAGAGTGTTAAACCTCGCCAGAAACCTACTGACTATTGTAGAAAACCTTAATGGACTGGATTCACTCACAGAACTCAACCTTCGTCATAATCAAGTCTCTGCTATAGTAAGGAACGAAACTTTTTCTCTCTTATTTCTTTTTTTCTTTGTTTTTAACAAAATGCACTATTATTGTAACTTGTTTAAACTGTATCAGCATTCCAGATTTGTGAAATCTTGTGTTTTCTGGTATTGTGTTGCTTATCATGTTCTGCTGCAGTACTTACAACATGAAGGTGAAACAAACAGCAATTTAGTTTTGGTCTTATTTTGTTTAAATATGATCACTTGTAGTGATTCAAGTTTTGATAGCTCATGATGGTTCTTTGGCAGGGGTGAGGTGGGGTGGGGGAAAGGAAAAAGACACTGAAACAGCTTTGTGGTTCCAACATACAAATTTGGAGACTTTTCTTCCATACAAGTTTGTTTCCTAGAAACAAATCCTCTCAATTTCTGTAGGCCAGCTAAGCAGTCAGACCATCTAAAATTTCATGTCCTTGAGAGTATTTCTGAGGCAAATGCAGATAAAATGGATATTGATTGTAAAAGCAGAATTTCACAATTGAAGCTTTAACCTAGCATTGTAAGTCTTCATGTTCTAAAAAATAAGCCTTTTCACTTTTGCAACTGTAGTTCAGGTATGTCAAGTAGATTGTTTGAACAAATGCTTGTTAAAATAATATAGTAAATCTACTTAAATAGCTATGTGTCCACTGGTTACAAGCTGGAGTATGCTCCTTAGTAGGATAAGGAGATGCAGAATTATAACCGAGGAGTTGGTGTGCGGTTTAAATGGTATATGAATGACTGCAGACTGTGCCGTCTGGCCATTATGGACTTATATTTCATAAATGAAGTTTGATCTTACTTGATATATTTCATTTTATTAATATTTGAGCTATTTGCTCTTTACAGGTTTTCTACAAAAGCCTTTAGTGGTATATATTAAATGCCCAGTTACTCATTCTGGAAACTCATTCCTTCTTGTAAATATTAATTCTAAAGGTGACAGACTCCTTCAGATCCTTCTCTGGCAGAAGAGTCATTGCTGTTTCATAGTGCTAGTTGCACTGCTGCATTGCACTTCAAAAACCTTATTTCAGCATGGTCACAATAGAAACTTTTTTTTTACAGTATGTTTATCCTGAGGCTTAAATGCTGAGGCAGCACCTTGGCTTATTTCCCAAAAGCCTGTTCAGAAACCAGCAGCAGCCTTATCTTCTTTTCTTTAACATCATTTGCTTTGCAAGTGATGCAGCTTGTTCTGCAGAGTAGGCATCTGCACTGAAACACTCCCTTGCAGTCTGCAGTAGGGAGAAATGGAGCTTGCACGTTCAACAGAAATCAATGTTGCAGCAAGGTTATAGCATATAGAAATGAAAGTATTTCATCATGCAAAGTAGATAGGTTCAAAAGCTACTTTCAGCTGCTGAATTTATGCCTCTTGTTTCCTTCTAGAAAGATGTGGATTCTTTGCCCTGTCTCCAACGTCTCTTCCTCAGCTTCAACAATATATCTAGGTAAGGGAAAAAGCACTTTGCTGCCTAGCAGTAATTTGAAGTACCCTATTGGAGCTGCATTTCATTAAAATTTAAATTCAAACACTATGAATGCAGATACTTTTTTCTCTTAACATATCAGATAGCATAATCAAGCCATTGTGTATTTTCTACTTAAACATAGAAATTCTTGAAACTCTTTGCGTTTAAATGTGGTTGTACTCTGAGTATTCTACCAAGAAACTTTTATATTTTTAATTTAAAAAATATCATACTGTTCACAATGATGATCAAAATTGAAAACAGTTTTGTAAATATGTTGTTTTATGCTTAAACTGCATATCTGTTACAGCAGCATTACACAAGGTACATATTTTATTTAACTTACAATCACTGTATTTATGGAGATACACAGACGGCTGAGTCAGATTCTGCTTACGATGATTATATTATTTCATGCTTGTATTTTACTTGTCTATATATTAATAAAGCCTGAAAGGTATAATCATGGTTATTTCCTTTTCAAACCAGATGGCAGAAGCAGAATAGCTCAAACTATAGAAGCCCTGCTTTGAAAGTTCAAGTAACTAAGTGCATTTTGTTGTAAATAGATAGAAATGTTGGTCTTTTATGCTTCTTCATATGAATGCATTTTTGGAGTCTGTATTTGTACTAGTGCCAATATTTTTTAAAAAGTAACAAAAAGAAAGGGCCTGCACTATCTACAGTTTGGTATGTCTTTTTTTTTTTTTTTTTTTTTTTTTTTAAATCCCTTAATCACCACCAGCCTTCTTTGGTTAGAATAAAATAATTTAATGTGGGGTAGGGGAAAGGTGCTTCATGTTCTGATTACTGGAAATACTGTGCTGTTCTTGTGGTATCTGCTTTGTCTGTAAAATGTTGTACTAAGTATAAGCTTTTGTTTTAATAGCTACTTGGACTTTTTAAGTCGACCTGCATTATGTTTTTTGCAGACAGCTCCAACCTACTTGTCTGTGTTCCTTAGGTTCTTAAAGTACCAATGCAGTAGGTCTCCTGAAATACACGTGCATATTAAGCATTTAAAAAAATCAGAGATGATGAACTGCAGGAGTCTGTAATATGCTTGTCACTTAATTAGCCTGCTTGTCTTTTTATTTTATGTTTCAAATTGGCATAATAAAGAGAGGAGGTTTGCATTTGCTTCTCTTGAATAGTTTCCAGAATTGAAACAGGCCTTTTGTTTGTGTTTTACTAAAAAATGTCTTAGCTTGGCAAGAACATTGAGGGGACTGCAGTACCTGGCTCCTTTGCCATCAGGGAGCATCACTGCAGTCAGTGGAATTTCTGTATTTTTTTAATATACTTGCTATATTTTCTGTAGCTTTCTGCCTCCTTTTTCACGTTGTTTTATGCAAATTCATGTTATTTTTACAGTGTTCAAAGAGGGAAAAATGTTTTGGTTTTTCTGTGAGGTTTTTAAAGTAATTTCTCAAACTTTATGTAATCAGTAGCTTGCTTCTTGGTACTTTATCTTGATTTTTGTCACTCATTGGGGCTTCAGTTGAACTGTTGACAGATCTAGTCTTAGTTTTCATGTAAGCTAGAAATACTTATTTAGATCATTCATACAAATATATAATTTTGTTTTAATTTGTAGTTGGAACAGGTATAAAAATGGAATCTTAATGTCAAACAAAAGACATCACTCTTCTATAAATTTTGGATGCATATGTGGGTAGATTGGTGGCTGGATCAGTTTAACTCTTTTATTTACCAGTCATTATTTTAAACAAATGAAAATATCTTCTGATGGTCACAGTTAGCTTGGGTTTTAAATAATAACTACCTATTACATATGGGTTTTTAGCCTTAAAACTGCTATTAATTCCTGATTTTGAGTTATGTAGTAGATATGATTTCTAACAAGAAAGTGATTAAAAATAAAAGTATGTTCTGACTATCTGTGTTCTGATACTTGGTTTAATAGTGTTTGAACTGACTGAAGAAGTCACATGTCACCATGAAACTAGTGAATTACTGTGCTACGTTTGAACATTCCTATAGCCCTTTTAAATGATTTTGTGTGTTTTTAGAAACAGGTGTGTTTTATGCAACTGACTTTTCTTTTAGACAATCAAATTGATGCACAGAAATTCTAATTCATTTATCTGTAGGTGCATAGAGAAAATCTGCAAATTGAAAGAAGCAAGAAAGAATATTGTCAAAACCTGGATACAGGTTCATTAAAGTATTTTATAAGTGATCATTCAGAGAAGTAGCATTTTTGAGGCAGTACTCCCATGGAAAGTTTTGCTGCTTCCTACTTTTGTATGTCAGCAAAAATTCTTAAATTGAAACATACTGACATATATGAATTAATATTTCAGTAAAAGATTCAAGAAGGCCTTTTAAAAATTGTTGCTATTTAAAGCATGAGGATCTATCATGAGTTAAACCGCTGATGTTCTTTTTCTCTCATGCTTATGAGGAAGCCTCAGAATGCTGCTGCTTCTCTGCAGAGCTTTTAGTATAAAATGATCTATTGGCAAGATAATATAAGCTAAACCCAAACGCTGTAGAAGTTGATGCTGATTGGAAACAGAAGTAGTCCTGCTTCTGGCTTCAGCCCCAAAAAATTAGCAGTTACAAACTGAAGGCATTCGTTTCTGATGGCTGAAGGTAACATGTATCTCTAGAACTAGTTATAAAGAAGGGAGAGAAATCCCATTTTGAATTTGTCATGTGGTATTTGGAAGAGATTACAGAAACTTTTCTTCAGGAAAGATATGCCACCGAGATTCAGAAATAAGGTTATTGCTCATATTTCAGAACGTGAAACCAGGGAAGACCATTTTTTAATCTTGAAAACAAAATATTTTCACTGTTACACTGCTGTCCAGGTCAGCACTGTGTTGGCTTTTTCATGTAGTAAGGCATGTTGTCTAGCCATATGGAAAAAGTTGGATACAAACTCAAAGGACATTTTTTTTAATTTTTGGTTGCTGAATTGGAAACCTAAGAGAAGGAATGTTCTTAGCCTAATAAAAATAAGAAAATATATATTTTTTTTCTTAGCATAATGAAAATTTATAAATACACTGTTAAATACTTGAACAAAAGCAGTACAAGGGGACTGAAAAGTTGACTGTGGTAACATCTGTTTTCATCAGTAGTTTAGTGGTTAGAAACCTGGAAAAACCCAAATTTTCTTCTTTGACTTAAGTTTTTTAAACCTACAGTTCCTTCTTGGGTGTTCTATCATACTGCAGCAAGTATGTTGCCGCCTTTCTCTTCTCCAGAGCTTTTCCCATTTATGGAACATGCTTTAAAAAAATCATGGATGCAAATGTGTAGAGAACTGTCTTCCTAAGCAAGTAGCCTGTAACAGAGGACAAGTGTGTTCCTGTGTCCTGTTCGTGCCTACTAAATGTGTAAATGTGAATGTGTGTCACTGATGGAGGTTGAGCTTACACCGCTCCAGAATACTCTGCTGCTTAGTAATTGCCACGTTCTGACGTGAAGCAGCAGAAGTGGGTTTGCATCCCCTCTGGCAGAGGGGAGAACTGGATGCGGGACTCTGAGCATCCACAAAAGATGTAAAACTGATCTGTTCTGAAAAGATTTCCAGAAAACGCTTAGTGATAATTTAGCCCATATTCACAACTTGTTTCTGTGTTGCTGAAACTACCATTTTAGCAAAGATAAATTATTCTCGGAAGAAAGGAGGACAGGGGAGATAGAGGTGGTTGCCATAGTTTGGTGAGACTCCTGCAGGAGACAGTCTTTTGGAAAGGGAAGCAGACATTCCACTTGAAGATTGACTGAGGCAGTCTGAAACAGCATCATCCACAGCTGCTTTGTATTTCGTGAGCAGGTTAAAGACTCCTTTGTGGTGAACAGAGGCTAGAGAGAGCATTGAGACGTGCCCTCTGATTCCTGTAGGGTGGTCACCACTTGGCTCCGTCACAGCAGTCTGTGTGCTGGGAAGCAGACAGAAGCTTGGTTGTAAAGTATGCAGTCTGTTTGGTAAGTGTATTGCGCTAAAGCTTTGCTTGGCTTAGGATTGAGATGCCAGCGTGACAAGTACAGTATACTAAGTTTTCTACGTTGAATTTCTAAGGCTTTATTTTTCATATGTATATACAAAGATATGAAAGCATAGCTGTTTTGCACTGCTGTTTTGCTCTAAAATTGGGCTGTTAATAGGGCAGCTAAAAACAGGATAATATAAGCACATCTGTTTTAGCTCCAGAATGAAAGTTCTGGTATGCTGAAGCACTGAGAATTTCAAAGCACAGCTGTATGTGTAAGTGGAAGGTCTTGAAAACACTAGCAAACTCTCAACTTTTCTGTTATTTCCTGAAGAGATGGGTTTTATTAAAAAAAATCTGTAAATCATATGTAATCCAGAAGTACTCTTTAGTTAAATGTTTAGTGCAAAGGACTTGGAAAACATATATTTATTAACAAATATATTTACATTATTTGAAACTAATTTTGAAGACCAGAAAGTTTTTGTTTGTCGCATTTGTCAAACAAAATCTGTTCTAGCTCTATGGAAATTCAGTTATCTTTTCTTATTCCATCCTGTTTACGCGTTTGCTTTAATAACTCCTGTGTCATTTGGGAAGATTATATTTTATCTTCGGAACATACTGAGTTTTAAGTAATTTAACATTTAACATTTTAAGTAATATGTCATCCTGATCTTCCAAAAATGTGGTTATGCAAACTGTTTTAGGGAAAGGATATCAGATCACAGAAAGCAGCAGAAAATTGTAAACAAACTTGTCATCTTAACCACGTGAACAAAACACCCAATTCTTCACGTATGCTAAGCACCTTCACTGCCTTTGTTGGATCTGTACATAGTTCATTTTCCATCAGTTCATGTGTTGTAATACACTAAGCAGAAAGTTAGTAGTTTCTTCCACTTCACTGTCATTTTCCTGCAGCATCCATTGGGTATATCCTATATAGAAGTTACTTGCATGCTGTACTGATTGCATTGGGTTTCTGAGATTTGTATCAGGCGATTTCTTTTCTTTACTCCTGCTAGCTTATGTTCGTATCCAAGCCTTTCTTCTGCTGATCAAGACTGATTGCTATTTGGTGACATTATATTTTACCCATATTTCTTTTTGTTGTTGTTGCAGAAATTGTTTTGTCAAATACCAAGAATCTTTCAGGGTTATCTTTAAACTCTGACATTTTGGTAGATCTGAAGCCCTTTGCAGCTGGATGTTAGTCCTCAGCAGATTATTCTATGCTTTTTGAAAGTTGAGTGATAGCAATGATAAAGGCAGTTGCTGCTTTACTCAATGACTGTCTTTAATATGAACATCTGTACTGCATATGATTTCTAATCCCCAAGTTCAGGGCATACTTAAGGTTTGGTATCCTTCCAAGTATTAGTGGGGGAAGAATTTTCCTGCCACCAAGAGTGAGAAGAACTATAACCAGTTGATGCGATCACTAAGATTGTCAGAATATTAAAAAAAGGCAGTAATTCCATATTTTCCACTTCAGAAAGTCTCTTCTTTCAGAATGTCATTAAGTATTTGCTTCTCCAGTAAAGTGATCATCATTGATTCTTTTTGTAATTTTCATGTTTTTTTTAACTTCATTCTCAAAAGTACCAAGTCAAATTATTTCATACTTTCCACTTGAACTTACTCTGTAACAGTCTCAACTTTTGCAGACCAAAGCGTGTAAGGATGGGTGCACGTTTGTACATCTATACATTGTAATCAATTTCTTAAAAGGTTTTGGGGAGTCATATTTAATTCTATGAGTTCAGCTTTTTCTGAAATCAGGTTAAATAGTTCTCTGTTTAAAAACGTTTTATCTGAGTCGGCTGCTTTCTTTTCACATTCCATCTTTAATGAAAGGAACGCGATACCGGCTGTACGTCTCTGAATACATTTTACACAGGCCAGTTATTTTTGTAAGGAAACCAAATCCAATTTTGTTTAAAAAGCTAACTTACTAGTGGTTGTAGACTAGACTTGGAACCATAGACAGATCTGTTCTGAAGATAGTATGATGCTTTTGTAATTGTTTTTCTTCGTCTTTAATACTGTTCCAAACACCCAGGATCATTCTGTGGTATTTCTGTTTGACGTTTTTCTTGTATTTTCCATGGTTTTCATGCTTTCTTTGATGGCAAACACACCATGTGTTATTTTTTGAGTTGATATGTATACTCTGTTAGGGTCTTTTTGTAGGTGAAACTATACACCCACAGTTAACAAGTTCCCCTTATTCTGCATCTCTTTTTACCTGTATGTGGAGAGATTTAAAAGTTTAACAGCAGCAGCTGTTTTGGTATTTCAAAATACTTATTGTCTGATTTATCATACGTGATGGTGGGCTTTTTTTCAGTACAGTCAAATATTCATGTTCTATCCTTAAGAAATAAAATCTTCCATCTCAAAATTATTCCTACTCTGTGACATTAAACCTTTAAACTTTTTTGGTTACAGTTTTGAGGATATTCTGTGCCTTGCTGATTCCTCATCTTTGTCAGATATCACCCTTGATGGCAATCCAATAGCTCAGGAGACATGGTACAAACACACTGTTCTCCATCATATGATGCAGCTCCGACAGCTAGATATGAAGAGAATCACAGTAAGAAATCTCTTTTTTTGTCAAACTTCATAGATCCTTGAATTTGAATTCAGAAGTAGAATGTAGGGTTTTCTGTGTATATATGTGTCTTTAAAATGCCAGCATTTTTTCTTAATTTAGTATGGAATTGAGTGGTGTAGGGACATTACGATGTTTAAAACTTTAACCTTTTTTCCTTTGTTCAGTATTATGTAAGGGTGTGCTTTTTTACTTCACTTTAACATGTTTATTTTTAAAGGCTTAAACTCTTCATTAGTAAATACTGTGTGATCAATTGCCATGAGATGTGAGAGAATGTGCAAAGCTTTTGGTTAGAACTTTTTCAACACAATCTTTACTGGTTTGCTGTATAGCTGAAAAGGAACAGCATATGTCTTCCAAAGGAATAGTGTTTACCCTAAAATTGGTGTTATTGCTATCTTATTTCATTTAAAAATCTTGGCATTTTCTTTCATCTGCTTCCCCGAGGGAACCCGGCGATCACACAGTTTCTGTGTGTCTGCCTGTATTTCTCCCTTCTTTACTCAACCTCTCCCCCTTCATTTCCGTTTCTGCTGCTCAAGTTCAAGGAACCTTGATAAGAAAGTAGAGGACTTGGAAACAAAAGAGTCTTCTGCAGACTTCTTGAAAGTACACTGTAAGGTAGAGAATGGAGGGTAATCACTGGGGGCCTTACCATTAAGTCAACTATTTTACTGCTTAATATAGGAATAGCTATGCTAATTTTTCTGTGTCTATTCAAAGGTGATGTGTAAGCATGACCACCTTACAAGAGAAATCCGTCCAACAGCAGGATAACAGATGTAATATACTTTACAAACAACAGTGTTGCACTATTTTCTTTTTTGACCAGGTGCTGATACATAGACCTTATTTTAAATGCTCATTCACTTTGTACAAAAGCTGTACTCCATTATAAGTTGCACCTGTTGTTTTACCCTCTATCCTGTTGTCCTGTAGCCAATCCACCATAAAATAGAGCCAATTATGATGTGAAATATAACATACATGGAAAACATTAATTTTAAAAATAAAGGGCTTTGGGACATTAGAATTTTACTCCCAGCATTGAAAATACAAAATACTTGTTTGTGTGCAGGTATTCTATGTGCTGTGTGGTGTTTTTTTTTCCTTTTGTGAATTTATACCAACTTATTTGAATACTTGCTAATTGCTTTGCCTTTAAAAAGATAATTTCCTCACTATTTCAGAAACTTGAGTCAAATCAAGAAAATGTTTCTCCCTCACCCCCTCTCCCAGCCCCTTCTGAAGAGGAGACAGATCCTGGTAGAACTCTCAGTGATGGGAAAAACTGTAGAAAGAGCTCGAACTCCTTTTTAGACTCTATGGGATCTGATGGGGAAAATCTATTAGAAATGCACAGCCATGGGGAAAAAATCTGGGTTCTCACCTTGTTAAACATCAGAGAATGAACCACAAGACAAAAAGCCATAGAAAATCAGGCTTCACAAGTTGTGCTGCTCAATTCTGCTTTTAAAAAGAGTGTTTTGTGTTCTTTTTATTTGCCTTCTGGTTTTTGAGCCTTGAGAACTTTGTAAACACTTTCCTGGTGTATGTTTTCTCCAATAAAAACTGTGTTACCCAGATAATCATATGACTTAAGAAACTGGGATTTTAAGGAAAATAACAAGTATCATTAGATTTGTGATAAAGTTAGAGCATTGGCAATGCCAAATCCAGCTATTCTGCTTAGTAACTGCAACATGCTATTGCAATGGGCTGTAATGGTAAATGTAGTTTGGTGGGGAATGGAAGTACAATATTGGGTATGTGCTTTTTCTCACTCGACTAGTATGCCTAAACTCTAATTTACAGGATCTTAGTCTGAGAAGAAATCACATACTCTGCACTTGGAATAAAACTTTCTTTTTGCGTTTTAATTGTTCTAGTATTTCTTAAGTTGGGGCAGATTTGCCTTTATTCAAGGCATTACATCATATTATGACAGCTTTTAAACCCTGACCGGTGAAGAAGGTGGTGTTTTCTGAGGCCATTTCGTTCCTAACCCATTTTTGAATGTAAGATTTAAGCTCTTAAACCACTGAGGCCTGGACCCAGTGGCGGTGGAATTGGTGGAGGTTAGTCACCTGTAACGAGTTTCACTGGAAGACTGTAAAACTTCTTAATTATCAACACTAGAAGATGATTTTTGGCTGAAAACCCCATCCATGTCTGCAGGCATGTAATAAAATATTAAAATATGAATGAAATGTGTACATATTCCTTACTGAGAAATTATTTATCCAGGAACACTTGCTATCCATCACTTTAAATAAACTTTATCAACAGAATTTGCTAAGTGTGTGTGTGTGTGTATATATATATATATTTGTGTGTGTGTATAACAGTGTGTGTCTCTATATATATACATATTTTAAATGTGCTGTGGTTCCCAAATTCAAAGACAAGCTGCATCTTTTTTACAGTGAAACTTGGCCTCTTTTCATTGAGGTTTTATAGGGTTTTGGATCTTTTCATTGAGGTTTTATAGGGTTTTGGATCTTTTCATTGAGGTTTTATAGGATTTTGGATGCTTAAAGTAAGAGAGCTGTGTTTGGTTTTGATTATTTGCTTAGATATTTCTCTTCTGATCAGGGAGCAGGTTCTACTCCTTTATCCGGAATATAATTCATTATCGATTCCATCACCACCATGGAGTGTTCTGGTTTTTAGGGAAGGATCCCTGATTTTTTTTTTTCTTTCCACTCAAAAATAAAATACTTCAGGAACTTCTAGAGCTGTTCTTGTGGATCATAATCTTCTTTCTTAAATCAGGTCTTGCAAAAAATATACTAAATTAATACTAAAAGTAGAAAATGGAGAGAGATCTCACTGTCAAATATAACTGAAAGAATGATTCATCAAAAATTTTGTACTCTTATTTCTGTAGCTATATTTCTACTAGAACCATTCTTACATTCTCACTTCATTCTTGTGTAAAATCAGCCTCAGTGGTGTATGTAACAGAAAGTAGTCTGCCTTCTGCAATTGTAAATGAGCTGGATTTTGTGTATGTTAAGTGTCCTGTGTTGAGTCTCTTTATAAATTTAAGCTTTCAAGGCGTATTCCAGGCCATTCTTCATATCCTCTTTTTTCTTTCATCACCTAAAGTAGTTTATATCAAGTACACTATAGCTGTTTCTAATCTGTAGTGACATTATTTGAATAATAGGAAGGTAGCTGTCCTGTGGAAATGAAATGCTGCATTCCATGTGTGGTACTTCAGCATCTTTTTTCCGGTGAGTTAAGTGGTATCTTTTGTTGAAAAAGAACTTATTTGGATAATAGTAAAGCAGTAGTGAGGAAGAATACCTGCGTTGCACTGTGGTCCCTTTGGGATCCTCCTCGCGTGTTGCTGGATGGTAGCCTTGAAGGGCTGATGCCATAACGACAGATTTGGCCCGAATCTGCGGTGTTCCCGTTCCGGGGGTGCTCAAGTAGCAGCAGGGGGAGCTGTCAGCCTGCCCAAGCGCCGGGTGCAGTGCTGCTGCAGCTCTCCTGAAGGTGTGTTGGAAGGGTGGTAATCGCTTTCATGTGCCTTTATTCTTCTTGTGTTGTGTCGCTACTGTTGCTTCACACTGAGAATGTGAACCTGCAGCCTCAAAAACTCGTTGCAGAAAGTCAGACTTCTGCTTCTTTAGGAGGGTTGGTTTTTGGGTTTTTTTGTGAAGTTGGCTTCTTGGCCATTCAGTGAGATTTTTAGATGGGAAGTGGAGAACGAATGGAGGTCATCTCAGTATAAAAGAGGACATACAAGTCCTTTGGTAATGATCTGGCACTTCAGCCTTCTGGAAAAGCATCCTTCCTTGTCCAGCAAGGTTTGGTTTAAAGACAAAATAAAGTTACAGACAATAGCAGCAGAATAACGAGGGGGAAGGAAGAAAAAGGGAGATAGAATTTCAGAAGAGGTGGAGGTAAAAGAGAACAAGGGGTGATAATAAAAATGGATTGTGTCAAGGTTATTAAGGGCTTTGTTTTATAACTTTGTAGGTTTTTTGGGGTTTGTTTGTGGGCTTTTGGGGGGGAATGTGTTTTTTCAAGGTTGATTGCATGTGTTGTGTAAGACTAATGAAGAAATGCATAAGGATTTTGTTTCCATAAAAAGTAGATTTGGCCATTGATCTTGATTCATATATTTTCTCTATCATTCTGCTTTTGTGAATACTGAGTAAAACTAGGATATGTTTTATTCTGAGGCTGAGATAGTTTGTTTTGTAAAAGAAATAGTATTTTTTAAATGTCTGTAATTAGGATAAGCTCTGGACAAGAAAAAAGTCTTATTCTGTTAACGGAAGACTCATTAGAATGTAATTTGCATTAGTTCACTTTGTTGTTTGTATACTGGACTGGCTTGAATGAGGGCAGTAGACCCTCGTGTGCAAGACTGTCATAAAGCATGCTTTTGGGCTGTATCAAGGGAAGGCTTTGAGATGGAAGATAGAGTAAGAAGAGAGATTTATGGAACCTGAGAGAAAACAGAATTAGGGAACTCTCTGGACATTTGCCTTAAAGCTTCAAAACCAAACCCAACTAGAGTTGTTTTGAAAGGAATAAAATTAATGAGGGCTAATTTCCTATAGACTAGTGTCATTTTGTTCTCCAGTTCCCGCTTCCCCAGTGTGAAACACAACAATACCTCGGTGAGTTTGGAGCTGAGGTTATGATGACTCGCTAGCTGTTTTCTGCCAAATAGAACGGATAACTTCTGCTTTGTCTCCCTTGGTGGGAAAACTACATTTCTCTTCTTTCTGCATACCAATTTTATATAATCAAACTTCTAGGGAACAAAAAAAACCTTAATCTGAGAATTCTAAACATATCTTAAATTGTTTACTATGGTCAATGTGTTGAGAAGTCATTAGATATTAAGATGCTGAAATTGTAAAAAGCTTCATTCTTTAGGAAGTTAGAAAGCATAAATGCAAGGTCAAATGGAGAGATTTAATTAGAAAATGTAAAAAAAACCCCAAACAACTCTAACCCTCTTTCTGTAGAAAGGTATGACTAATGTAGTTTGTTAGTGTTTATAGTTTATTTTAAGGCTTCAGGGTTTTTAAGTAAACAGAAACTTAGTGCACTGTAACATGTAATTGGATAAATGGCTGTCATGAGAATCGTGTTTGTAGTTCTTAGAGAGATTTTGAATCGTATCTTGAGGAACAGTACATGTTTATTTTGCATTATTAATTATACATTCAAATCTGTGACATATACCTGCATGGGGTTTATTTCATGGTTTTTGTAGCGTCCCATTCAGGTATTGGGTTTCATTGTATGGTATTCTGTTGTATTGGGATCTCAAAGGCCTTTCTCTAGCTGTGTGTGGCTTTACTGAATTATTTATTTATTGTTCATCCTCCTTTAACATGGAGTAGTGACCTCTTGAGGTCCCTTCTAACCTGGATTATACTGTAGTTCTATTACACCAGCCTCTTTGTAAGACCCTGTTTAGGAAGACCTGAAAAGCCCAGTAGCAGAGGAGGCTGCTGACAAAACTTCACCCTGAAACAGCGAGGAGTTGCTTTCAGAACAACAACAACAAAAAAAGTTAGGCTGCTTTCCAATTAACTGCATGCAAGAATTGCCCTGGAAGGCTGAGTTAGAGAAGCTAACCAAGAAGGTATCCAAAGGCTCATGCCTCAATCTGCATTAAGATATTCCTCTTGTTTAATAAATGCATGTTAGGTTAAAGTCATGGAGGAGCAATTTTGGAGGTTTGTTTAATCACCTTTCAGATTGAGGTCAATGGGTTTCAGGGGAGCTGTACACAGTTAAGGGTAAGTTTGCTATGTGAACCTAAGTTCTTATGTTTTGGAAATTATTATCTTAGAAAAGTAATAGTGATGCTAAATGTAAGGGTCTTGTTTTATTTTATCTTCCAGTAAGCATTTGCCCATGTGCTTAGGGGTTCTTAAATGCTCTAAACATAGTGTGTTTTATTTATATAGAAATTCTGACAGATCCATGTGTCTTCATGGTTGATGATGTTTTCTGTTCATTTTTGTTTGTTAATTTTCTTAACACATAACTTTCTGGAAAGTGAAAGTGAAAAGGTTAGGACAGGAGCTTTCTATTTTGAGGGAAATCAAAACACTTTCCGTATGTTCCGGGAAGATACTTTAATAGAAACACTCAAATGGCATGTCAAGTAAATCAAAATAAGTTAAAGTATGCTTCCCAAATATTTGTGTTGGAAGGACTCTACACTTTTTAGTTCATAGTGAACATTTCTTTTGTTACTTGGAAAATGTATGTTCTAAAAATACTGTGCTGTGAGAATGTTTAGACTTCTGTAAACAGGGAACATTCAACCTAATAGGGGTGTATTGCAGTATTAAATTGCTGTACCAGGAAAATTAAGCATCTTCACTTATGTGACTTTCATTATTTGGGAATCAATGGCTTTCTTCTTGAAAAATCTTCTTGAATGGGAAAATTTCAAAATTAACTGTAGTACATTATTTCTCATCAGTATTATTATACTGATGAGAAATAATGTACTACAGTTAATTTTGAAAGTATTTTTTTTTCTTCTCAAGTTCTATAGCTGATTGAGAAAAGTAAGCCCCTGGAAATAGTTTATAATTATAAAAATCAATCTTATGATTCAAGCATAAATAGAATTCATCTCATTTGCTCTGTCTTACAGAAAAAAATCCTACTAATTGCAAAAACTACTACAAAGATATAATGCACTGTTACTTTTAAAAATGTTCTTTTTCCATGTCTTATTCACCATATGCTTTACACTTTTTCAAAGGCCTTTAAAAATACTAGTTTTAAATAGCTTTATTTTCAGTATTTGCATCTGAGTAGATATGTTTCTTCTGTGTTTCTTATTTAAAACAAAATTGTTAATTATAAATAAATCAACATCTAGAAACATTACTAAAAACCCTAAAATTTTATTAAAATTAAAATTTGCATTTCAAATACCAACAAGTATGTATTAATAATTGATCAGTAATACTTTTCAGAACCTGAGTAATTCCTCCTTTTATAAGGTGGTTTTTGGTTTTTTTCGTGCAGGAAGAAGAAAGACGTATGGCATCTGTTGCAGCAAGGAAGGAGGAAGAAAGGAAGCGTGAAAGCCATAAGCAGACATTGCTGAAGGTATTTTCTATGCCTGTTCTAAGCCTGCTGTAAACCACTGTACAGCAATAATCTGTATCCTAATATTTTTGCTGTAGTTCTTGTATATCCCAGTATGCCTCTATCTCTTTAAACTTTTTTTACAGCTTAAACAGTGGACTCCACAACTGAAACTTTCTTCAGTCAACTATGCAAGTTATAGTTTAGCAAAAAAACCCAGTTGAATACATGATTGTGTTACATGTAAAAGGATGGTAAACTTCATTTTCACCAATCTAGAGATAAAGTAAATGTAGACTAAAGTAAAGGACTTTTCAGTGATTTCAAGTTCCTTGAACTTAGTCTCACCTGTTTCAGGTGAGTGCTCTAACTGTTGTCATACAGGGTGTTCTGAAGTAGTTTTTCCTTCATTCTTTCCTGTTGAAGTTGTTCCTTTTTGTATAAAGAGTAAAACAGTCATCAGAGCAGCAGCTAGACTCCAGCTGTCTTCTTTTTCAGAAGAACAGTTATCTGCCAGACCACCTGGCCTGGTTAATGGTTGTATACAGGAGATGGAATAGCTCTAACGGGGAGACTGAGGTGCACTCTGGAGTACTTGTATGGGGCTGGTGACTGAATTGCTAATAGGAGACCGAAGTTTGGGGATCTAAGAGTATCTGTGTCCCATTTGTTGTGTGAATATTGCCATTTGTCTCCAAATCATTTTTCTTTGGAGGAAAAAAAAAACATACCTAAAACTTTGTCATCCAGTAATGGTTATACAAAAAGCTCTTTCAATTGGGCATACAAACAAACAAAAATTTCCATGTATCCATATTGTTAAGTTGAGTAGGTAAAATCAATGTCATGAAGGGGATTAGACTGAAAGTAGTTGAAGTGTAGCAAATGTATATAACTCTCAAAAATAAAAAGTATATTAGAAGTTGTTTTAAGTATATTGAAAACCACTAAGAACACAAATATGTGAGTAGGAAGATAAAGAATTATGTATCTTGTGCCTAAGAATATATTTTTATTTCCTGTATATTTGTATCCACATATATTTTGATTTTCAGTTAAAAAAAAACCCCAAAAACAAAAAAAACCACCACCAACCAAAACCCAAAAAAACCCCCCAATATAATAAAAAAGTCTTTGATATTTTTTTTTTTAAGGAGTGTTGTGGTTTGGTGTGTTTTTTTGTGGTGTTTTTGTGGTTTTTTGTTTTTTTTTTCTTTCCCTTCCCTCTGTAAGATACTTATGTATTTAAAGTCTCTTCAGCTTTCAAGTTTTGGTGCCAGTTCTTAGTAACATAACTAAATGGGAAATTAGTAAATAATATTCACAGATAGTGTTACTTTATGCTCTTGAAAAGCTAACTGTGTCTCTGGACTGGACAAAATGTAGGTGTTTATTGAAAGTGTTTATTTGTAGTTCATGTACTTAACCATTGATATAATGTTTCCTCGTAGTAGAGGGGTTGTTTGTCTTGATGGCCTAGATTTCTAAGTGTATTTTACGAGTGGAAGCTTCCCTTAGGAGAAAAAAAATAATATTTTTAATGTATAATGCCATTGTTACTCAGATTACAACATTAAATTGTAGATTTTGTAACTTAACCAACGTGTTTTTCTTGCCTTCAAATACTTAAGTGGCATACAAGCCAACTATCCATATGTTTTCCACAATTTGGTGGTTTTGTATATGTTTCCTTTGTAAATATGCTCTTTGTAAATATGTGTTATGATTCTGGTTTCTTTTCTCTTCAACACATTTGAACTGAAAGGAACAAATCTATTTATAGATACAATGTCCTATGAAAAATGTTGTGAACTATAGGGTTTTCTTCATAGTTAAATCTGAAGAAAATATTTGGTGAATCCTATTCTGTAATTTTTGTTGTCACTTTCCTCCAAACCTTCTTAAACTGTATGCAATGTAAATGAAATTGTAAGCACTCGTTCAGCAGCAAACAGTTGCTGTTTTCCTGTATGAACTGTATCAAGAGTTCATTTCAGCTATGTCATCTCTTCTTTTTCCCTTGCTTGTACTGTCTACTTCAACAGCAAAATTTCGTCTCTCTTTTTGCAAACTTTTTTTTTTTTCTTTTTATTGCTTAAAATTCACTCCTCGGGGAGAGTTCAAGATGTACTTCAAAATATACAGAATGTAATTCCTTTCCGGTAGAGGCTGAACTGGGGCCTCCCATAGAGGCTTAGTATTTAATGGGGCAAGAAACAGTTGTTGCTTACAGAATCTTCACACTTCTAAAATTTGCTTTTTGTAAAATGAATTCTTGAAAGCTTTCGAAGCTCTGCAGGAATCCAGCAGCCCACAACTGAGGGCTAACAAGGTAGTAGAGCTGTACACTGGTTGACATTATGAGGAGACCCTCACCCCCCCAGAACAAACAGAATTTTTTCCATGTGACTAGAAGAAAATGCTGACTATTTCAACTTCCCCTACTTTCTGTGACATGGAGCCCAGTCATCACTGAGGTCTTGTAAATCTTGGGTGCTTAGTGTCCTCTAACCAGGTAACATCATAGCTCTTCGGGCAAATTGAATGGGAAATAGGCTTTCAGGCTCTTTAAAATGGAAAAACTTTCAGAAGAAGAAAATTTTTCAAGTAGTTCCCATGTTGTCAGTTATAGGCAATTATGGACACTATTTTTATCAGCATTTAAAGTCTGGTAGATCTCTGCATTGTCAGTCACTGAAAGAGGTCATGGTGTTTATTATAAATGTAATAGCTGCAGCATGAGGGATTTGCATATAGGCATTAAACGTTTTACTGAAATATTTATATGTAGTTGGTTTTTATTCTTAAGGAAATACCTAGGCTCCACAAATTAGCAGTCACAAATGGTGAAATGCTTGCTTTTTTTTTTTTGTTGAACTACAGTTTTCTGTTTTTCAAAGAAATATTGATTTTTAGTGCTTTACACTTCACATCTCCTACACTGAGTACTGTGAGGAACATTCTTAGTGAACTACATTGCAGCCATGTCCACAACTCACCCACTGTGAAAAGAATTATGTGAAACCATGATGGTAACAGTCATTTTACTTTTATAGATTAAACCTAAGAACATAATGAGTATAGGTCAAACTTAGCATATCAGAAGTGCTAACTTCAAATTGTAACGTTAGGTTTGTCCTAGTCCCCTGCCTTTCCCCATAGGCATATAAAATAAATTGGTTTTTTTTTTTCTATTTTAAAAAAAGGGGCTGTAAGAAAACTTTGTGGTTTGTGCTGATATTTTTTTCCCAGTCATAGAGTCTGTCTTAAAACAGAAATGTAAATGTTCAATTTTAAACCAAATAAAGCCTTTCTAGCCTTCAGGATTTTTGGTACAGCCTTCTAAATTCTAATGAATATTGTGTTGTTTTCTTATATCTTAATCAGCCTAACAAAATATTCTAAAGGACACAGGAACTAATTTAATTATATTTAAAACTATGATATTAGACAGGCTTTTAACACTGGTAAGAAATGGATAAAGGTGTTTAGCTTATGCTCAAAGCAGATACTTGCTAACAGAGATTTCCCTTACCTGACATCCTTTTAGACCCAATTTGAGATCATTGCAACTTGAAGCTAACAAGTACTTGGTGATTCAATTCAAAGTTTCATAGCATTGAAGTAGAATATTCATGAGTACATCTGAAGAGTATGCGCCTTTTATCCTTCCCCTATTTATGGGTAAAATTAGTGACAAATACACAGGCTGCCTACAAACTGCTTTTTATACTACACAGAGAAAAACCAGGTTTGCCTTTTTTCCCCCCTCCATTCCAAAATATCAGGACGTTTGCTTGTATTCCAGTTCCAATAGTGATATTCTGAAGTACATGAGAGAAATTAAAGGATTCTTAGAATATAATGGGTTTTTAATACTTCCAAGAGTGGGAAGCTTTAAATTAAGGTTGTGACTTTGTATGGACTTGAAAGCTACGCTTCTATAGCAACATCAATTTAGAGTATGATATTACAAACCAAGAAATCATTGGCTTTGACTGATACTGTTTTCTCCATGTTCTGTGGATATGAATTTATTTTATGGTAAGCTCCTCTATAATATTTCCTCTCAGAATTCTAAGTCACTGAGTTTCGTTGAGAGGAGTGTAGCAGTGAGATGGCTGACTCCAGAGAATTTGATCTGGTTCAGAAAAGCTGAATGAAGTGAAACTAACAATGAATTTACCCTTTGGAATTATGTATGTTGAGCAGTTTGCATTTCATGAGAGTTCAGCTGCCAGTCCATGAGCTATTACAAAGCACCTTGTTCTTTAACCTTTTAAAAGATGCTAAATTGGATATATTAAATAATATATATCTATATGATACAGCAGCATAATAACCTGTGTATAGAATCATAGGTAATTGACAGGATTTACATGACTAGATAAGCACAAGTACTTAATAGACTTTCGAAACACTGGTTCATTGACAAGACCTGTTTAGAATATAAAAACCACTTAAAACTATTACAAAATATTTGAACTTAGAGTTCTGTTGCAGTCCTTGTGTCTGTCATGAAGGTAATTTCACGTTCTGTTTTTATAAAATTGACTTTTTCAATTTTTCAGAAGATACCCTGCACGGGCTGGAAAAAGTTATGTTGTAATTACTGCAAAGACTTAGAGCAGTTGTGTAACTGCCTTAGCCTAAGTGCTAGGGTCACTCTAGCAGCAGGGAGGAAAGTACGAGCAGTCTGCCCTGTTGTGTGGGAGAAGTATTCCAAACAGCTCCAGACTATCAAAATGAGACTTCTGCAGTTATCCAAGCTAAATATTTTAACTTGATTATTTCACAAGTTGTGGATTTATGATGTTACTTTTCTTTTCTGTTACTGCAAATTTAGTGAAATCATGGCAGCTATATGAAATAGCAGTAGAATGATGCATTGGTTTTAATGTATAACCACCAACCAGAACTTGTTACTTTAACTTAGAACATTTTAAATGTTTTGATTAAGCAGAATATTTCTTTCAAAACAAACAAGTGTGTTGATACTGCACTGTCATAACTTATTGTGACTTTTATGTCTTGTTTCAGGAAAAGAAACGGTTGACAATTTGTAATATTGCTCACCAGTGGGAGATACAACAGAATCGAACAGCTCTTGTGGCTTCTTTAAACCAAGATAAAGATAACGAGCCCTGTCAGATCAATGGCAATGCTGTGTATGTATTTCCTGAAGAAAACAGGTATTTTATTGGGAAATACTTATTCTTCTTTGTGTCTTATATTCTCACCTCTGAGCTCTCACTGTACTTCATTATCAAAAGTAATATATCCAAATTAATCTTGAAAAGATGTTTTACTTTGTGATTAAACCTATTGGCCATTAGTAATAAGTAATAATATATTGAAGAAGTAATATAACAGTGACTCATTGACTAAAGAAGTGCAAGCTAAATTATTATGTGATTTTGCTAAATAAGGGAGGGCTTCATGTTTGCAGGAAATGTTATATATGAATTTGTGAGCCTTCTTAAGGCTGTTCATTTCCTTGAGAGCTTAGATTGTTGCCTTCAGTTGAAACGAACAAAATGAGGGTGTATGAGCGTTAGGTATGTTTGCAACCTCTTTGTGTATCAAGAGGTTTCATAAACGGAGTGTTGAATTCATGTTCTTAGTTTGAACAACAACATCTCGTAAGGGCCCACTTTAATACCCGTGCTATTTTAACAATAGCAGATCTTTGACTTAGTTTTATTCCTACAATGATTTTTTCTAAGATAATTTTTCGGTTGTTGGTTTAAAATATTTTATTTCTGTGATACACATGGCTTGCTTATCTGCATCTGCAAGATGGCCATCTGGCGTTCTATGTCGTTTAAAAACCAATGCAGAACTTCGTGAAGAATGTGTGAGTTGGATTGGCTGAAACCCAGCTAGTACACTTTCAACCCGGCCAGCTCAGGCAAAAGTCTGAAAAAATAGCCTGCGTGAATTCAGTAGCAAGTACAGCTTCCTGCTGTGACTGATCAGCACTGGAAATGTTGGGTCTGGGCAGGAAGTCTTTGCCTCTCACAAGCAGAACCCATCGGAGTTTCAGTCTGACGTTGGCTAGACCTGGTTTTTATCTCTGGTGGAGCGCTGCATCTTTTGAAACATCTTAGTGCTTTTATATTGCTGTTGGCCTTTCTATTCTTGTGCTCCCAAATATATGTTTAGCCACTGCTTTCTTGCTGCCTTGGCTTCTTCACAGTTTAATTCAGTGTTAGTAATCATTGCCTGTGACCAAGTCAGTGTAACTGTGGTAGCTTGGCGTTGTCCTGTTAATGAATAGATTCTCATTCCTTGAGAAATCATGCTTTTAAGTAACATACTAAGACTTTTTCCATGGAGTTGTATGAATGATCTTGGTGTAATGCTATTTCTGCTTATGCTACATACAGTGACTAAAGTTGGTTTAGTCCTTGAAGTTTCCTGACTGTGAATGTTAGGATTCTTTTGTCAAATCTACAGTAATATAGTGCATAAATTCTGTTTCCATATTCTTGTGAAAGTTTTTGTAGTTTAAGATTTGTAGAATATGTTGTCGAAATCAAAGGGGTTACTTTAATGAAATACCAAATTTCAAACTCCCTGAGATGTTAGCAAAATAAACCATGTGCTTTATTTGCATATATTATAAATTTCTTGTGCAAACTACAGGGCATTTAGTTTTCTGAATTAGACACTTAGGTTTGGAATTTTCTTTTTCATGACTGGTTAGAGAAATTAAAGTGTGATAGTGTTGTTTATCCCTGATTTATTTCAGACAGATTAATGAAGATGTGACAATGTGCATTAGGATTAAGAAGCTGTAAATAACACTGCCAATTTTTTTGTCTTGAAGCCTTATTGCTCTTTAACCCTCTCGAACTTATAAGCATAGTAGACCAATGTTAATTTTAATAGTGAAGAATTTCAGAAGATATTGTCAAGATGAGTGACTAAACAATAAAATGGCAGGTGAAATTCAGCATAGATAAGCGATTACGGCTTCACGTATGAAGTGATTTGTGCTCATCTTGAATTCTCTGTGCACTTTAGGTCCAGTCAGCTGAGTGTATCATGTTGGAAGATGCAAAGATGTGAGAGTTGAGAATGCCTGGACTTATTGCTTATTTTGAAAATGGTTCTTGTGAATTGGAAAACTCACATTATTTTAAATAAATGCTTATTCAACCCTAATAATTAGGGATTAAACAAGTAAAATAAACTGTAAGATTATTCTCATTTCTAAGCAGAATAATGAATCCTGATATGCTGATCAGATAATGTGACATACGGGTTTGAGGAAGGAATGATGCTCTTGTTCAAGAGTAAAAATAAGTGTTCAGTACTGTGAATAGCATGAGCCTGGATTGGTTTTAACAGCTGTCTCTTCTTAAAGTGATTGCTCATGTCATAATCTTTACATCTCAGAAAGCAAACAGCATGTGAAGGTGACTGCTTGAATAAATACATTGTTTGAAGTTGGTTTTAGATATCTAAAGCAACATGAAATATGTTAAGTTAGCATTCTGAGTTAAAATTTTTAAGCAGATTATTAAATACGAGTGATTTATTAATTCATTTATTTATTTTTTTTCTACTCCCCTGTCCAACTCAAATACACCCAGAGGCTTTCTGACAAAGTAGAATATTTGCTATGTTACTTGATGGAAAGAGGATTGTCCTGCCCTTAATGTTTTTGAACCTGATTGGGTACTGCAAATGAATGAATGCTGAGAAATGCAGTCATATTTGCCAGTTGGGCTTTGGTGAATGAAAGGACTGTTGTTCAATAGAGTTATGTTACTATCTCAAAATAGCCTCATTTATATCACCACATTTTTATTTCCTCCACAGGTCTCTTGATACAATATTGAGCAGTGCAGTACAAGGCTTGTCTGTTCTTGAGTCTCATTTAGTGGAAGTGGAAGGAGACACTCTTTGCTTGTATGGTGCTGGAGCACTGGAGTGCCTGGATAGAAACTGGAGTATTCAAACAACTGGAACTATTGTCACAGTCTCCTTTATGTTCATAGAATTTGATGAAATTGTTCAAGTGTTAACAAAACTGAAGATAAAATTTCCTAATTCTGTGGTAAGAATGCCTCAGACTTCAGCTGTGTGAACAGCTATGGAATATGTATTCTCTAATAGAACCTTAATTTGGCATAGTCACCCTTGACTGCTTTCATATAAATAGATATCTTTGTGAATTACATATTTGCTTGCTGTTATTCTGTCACACTAACTTTAACTTGATACTTATGAAAAATCAAGACTTGAATTTAGGGTGGTGTTTTCTTTTCAGACTGGTTATTACTTCTCTTCGTTCCTCTGACCTAGCTGATTAGTTTTAAGATGCAAAACTGATGTGCAAATACAGTATTGCTATCCTACAATATTGTTATGGATCCATGGCATGAGGGAACCATCATTTGTGTTGTGAGTTCAAAGATCAAATAGCTGATAGGATAAAAAGAGAGGTAAAATTCAAAGGGAATAGCTAGCTAAATCAGTACAGCTCTTGGAATTCCTCAGTCCTTGTTGAAGCAAAATAATATAAATGAGACATCCCTTTACTACTTCCTTTTTTAGGTGTTTTTTTTTTTCTTAGATATTTAAATAAGTCATTTTGAAGCAAATAGTGATAACATACATAAAGCAACTTGTTACTCAGATGATATGCTTTCTTGAGTTCCCCGCTTCATTTAAGGTTTTGAGTATAACAGAACTTCATGGTTTAATTGAGCTAGATGAATTTGTGGGGAACTTAAGACAAATTTATCTATCTCAATGAAACAATTATTTGACTGTGGGGGAAAAATTTGGGGGGGATAAATTTGTGGGGGATAACAGAATCTCAGCTAAATTTTTATCTTCGTCAATTTTTCTTCCTTCCTATGTAGCCACACATACCATGCCCATAGCACTAGCATAGGACACGGTTCAAAGAAACAGCAGTGTATGACTTAATGCCAGCCTGCTAATGACCAAAAAACCGGAATATTTAAAACACATACTTATTTTTGCATGCGGCTGTTGCAGTTGCTTTACTTGCAGAATGAAAATAAGCATTGCTCAAGTATTATCACTGCTTGTTGTAATATTGAAAGTATTAGTGCTGTTAGTAAAAGGTTTATACATTTCTTAGGGGCTTGTAGCGTTGTCATTTCTAAATATATGTAATACACCCATTGGTTGATACATTGATGAGTTTTGCCACAAAGACCTCAAATGAGGTGAGCTCAGTTGCTTCATCAAACCTTAAGACTGTTTATTTGAGTTTGGAAATTGTGTGGCACAGAACAGGAGTCGTTGTATTCATTATTATTGTTTTCTTACTTAATTTATTAATTTATTGTGGTTCACTTTTTTTTTTTTTAAGCACCTGAAGTTTAAGGAGACAAATCTTGTGATGCTGCAGCAGTTCAATGCATTAGCCCAGATGCATCGCATTGAACAGTTAACAGTTGATCCTCAGGGCAATCCGGTTGTCAACTTTACTTTGTGGAAATACTATGTTCTGTTTAGACTGAACCATTTTAATCTACAGAAGATCAATGGAGTAAAGGTAGGATGGTGTTTCTTCTTTCTTACTATTGGAAAACATTTTAGGTAGACTTCACTGTATAATTTCTTGTGCTGCACATTTAAGTCCAACTGCACTGTGTTACAATTAGCAAAGTTGATAAGATGTTTAGTTGACATAAAATGTTGTATTGTCGTAGATGTTTGCAATTGCCAATGACAGTCCAAATCTATGTCTGAGTGGTTGGGATTTACCTCAAGGGAAGACTTTATTTCTGCATGTGGTTTGCTGGGTTTTTTTGTGTGTGTTTTTTTTTTTTTTTTTTTTTTTAAGTTAAAGTAATGCACAGTTTTACTTGATTTTAAGAAGCACTTTATTATATTCAAAATTATCACAGTGCTGCCATTGAATACTTTCACAAAAATGTGTTTTGACAGACTGCTTGGTTTACAGTATAAGATTTTTTTATCCTTTCCAGTGTTACAAGATATAGCTAAAAATCTTATTTTCTTCTTTAAGCCTTTCACAGGAAAAAGTCTGTCAAATAGATGTGGGGTTTTTTTCTGCTTGCTGTGTACAAGATCGTTAGTGTGTGTGTTTTTTGGTTTTTGTGTGTTTAATGTTTAAATAAATAGACAGTAAGGACACTAATGTTGTTATTCTTTGTTATTCTTTCATCTACTTTCAATTGATGTAAAGTGGAATATGAAGTAGATATATTCAAGCATATAAAATTGTTATTTTATACTTGGGCTTTGATTATAAAGGGAGAGAGAATAGTTACAATGCAACACAATGTTTGAACGTGCATTGAATTTTAAATGCTAAGTAAGTTTAAGTGGTGTTTTGGAAGGTAATTAGAGCAAAAACAATACATAGCTTTAGTGGTTAGACCTGGTATTTTAATTTGGTCGTCATCATCATCATGTGTTTTGGATTAGATATTTTACTTGTTGTGTGATACAGCCATAGCATGACTGTTGTAGTTTACTTGGTTCTAGTTCTGTAAAACATGCGTTGGTTGCACAGAAGAGCAGGAGTGGGTTAAAGAGCTTACTTGAATTAACTGCCAGAGAAAGGATGAGAAAAGATGAAGGCAAATATGACTCACTCTAACACCACAGTATCTTGAAAAGAACAAAAAGAGATAGCTAGTAACCCCACACAAACTTTAAAATGACCTTGAATTTAGTACTTTACAAAAAAAATGGCCATCAAAGTTTATTTACAAAAAACCAGAAGGTTGAATGTGGGTTTAAAGTTTATATCTTACTGCATTGTATTTTCAAAATCAACACTAAGTGTTTCAGATTAAAAGAAAATAGAAGACAAATCTTACCTGTTTGGTCTTCATGGAGGAAGAAAGAAAAAAAAGAAAATAACAGAACTGTTTAAGTAGGCTTTTTGTAATCATCTCAAGGTCAGCACGTTCAGTCTTTGAAGAAAACTTTTGAATTTAATAGTGCTTAGGGATGAATTTAGTAAATGGATTTACATGTGACACAGCATGCTTTTTATGTAGGACATATATCAAATCTTAAATATGTATGACTGAAGAATATTTTTGTTCTCAACAAACTTTCAGCCAGACCACACTATATGAAGATGTGCACACAGAAATTTTTCCCTAGTGCCATTAATCATTTGAAAAGTTTTGTAGCCAAGCAGAAGAAAGAGATGAACTCTCATTGCTGTTTTTCATTAGTCTATAGCAGAAGTCATGGTATCCAGTTTTGCAGATATATATTACCTTTTCTTTTAAAATCAGTAATAGAAAATCCTGTTTCCATGTAAAGAAGACAAACCCCTGAAGTGTGCTCTCAGACCTTAGGTCAGCCCTAAATAGGAGCTTGGTGACAGAAGAAGAAACATGCATATTCTGCTATTCTGATTGTCATAGGATCATAGAATGGTTTGGGTTGGAAGGGACCTTAAAGATTGAGTTCCAACCCCCCTGCCATGGGCAGGGACACCTCCCACTAGCCCAGGTTGCTCAAAGCCTCATCCAGCCTGGCCTTGAACCCCTCCAGGGATGGGGCATCCACAGCTTCTCTGGGCAACCTGGGCCACTGCCTCACCACCCGCACAGTGAAAAACTTCTTCCTAATGTCTGGTCTAAATCTGCCCTCTTTCAGCTTAAATCTATTAGCCCTTGTGCTATCACTACACTCCTGGTCAAGAGTGCCTCCCCCTCTCTCCTGCAGCCCCCTTTCAGTCCTGCAGAATGCCACTTGTCGCTGGTGTCCACTTGGACCGTCAACTGCTGACTGCAACTCTTTGAGTGTGAACGTCTGTCCAGTTCCTTATCCACCAAGTGGTCCGTTCATCAGATCCATGTCTCTCCAATTTACAGACAAGAATGACATGTGTGAAAGCGTCAGAGGCTTTGCACAGTTATAATTTGTGTGCAATGCTTGTTAAGACGGTTGTGTTGCCAGCTCTAAGGTACATACAGGTGGGGAGTGAGAGGAATATGTACTAATTGAATTAACTCAATAAATTATGTAACTCTGGCACTTTTAAACTTAAAAAAAAAAAAATCATGTAAGGAAGCTTTTATTTTTCTCCTCAACCTCCTCCTTTCATTCCAGTTGTGTTCCAAGCTAGAAGCTGTTAGTCTCCCCGTAACAATTATTTTGTTCCCTTATCAAACTGTTACATTTACGAACTGTGAAGAAGCAAATTCTGAGACATACTATTTGAAGTTTTTCCCAGTGATAATAATCTCAGATTAATTAAGAGCTGTCAAGGTGGAAGTTACTAAACTTTACGAACTGCTTTACACCAAGTGGTATGGCATGCGATAGAACAGATGCAGCACGTTTACTGAACTGGTGCCTGTTTTCTGTACTTGGCAAGAAGCAGGCATAATAGACTTACATTTATGTGATATTACCGTTATAATCTTTTTGTGATTAATAGAGCAAACAACGTCCTGGAGTAAGATAGGGAACATGAGTTTCTGTGAACTAGGGAGTGTATTCAACATTGCTGTCTCTGTTGACCTGGTCCTTATGCTTCTCTTAACATAAATAAATAAATTAAAGTCACTTATTTCTCTAGCAGACATTTCTGCCTGCGGTGGTCTTTGTTTCCCTAGCTGCCTTCTGTGCTCTTTGTTTTAGACCTTGCTTCTGTTAACAGACTGCTTAGTGAGGTCATCTACTCTTAGGCTACTAAGACTTACTTAATTTTAAGTGAAAGTGAGCAAATCTAAACATTGTGAAAAGAATTGACTTCACATTTCTAATTTCCTGACCTATGTTTTCTCTGTGGATTTCTCCCTGCATTATGCTGCTGGAGTATACTTTAGGCAAGGGTAGATTGCATAGTCTATAAACATTAAACAAGAATATAATAAAATTACTTTAAAATGGAATTCTGATCCAAATTACTCACACATTTGAATAATACAGAACACAAATATTTTCTGGAAGTACTTAGTCAATGTTGTGAGTATTGATGTTTATTTAATAATGGGTTGCTTTCCAAAAATATGTTATAAGATGAACGGAAATTAAATTTGGTCCAGAAGTTAAGACATCACCTAGTGTGTTTCGTTGTCCTGTGTTATCCAGGTCAGATTTAGATGATCATAAAGATGTCTTCTGCACTCACTGAAAAGCCAGGAGTCTAGAAACTGTGCCAACAAACTTTTGGCAGTTGAAGTCAGTTCATAGTCTGGCCATCAGGGAGGAGAAACACAGGCCATGGTCTCCAGAGGTTATGAGCCAAGACAAACAAAAAACAATAACAACCACCAAAAAATAAACCCCTTCCACCTTCTTTAATCAAAATTGAAATGTGTAGAATTAATCCTGGAAAGCTGAAAATTAAAGAGACATCTGTAACTTAATGTTGATGTAACAGTATCGATGATATTTAGAGAAGTAGAATGGAGGAACACTTATTTTTGGGAGTTGAAAAATGTAGAGAAAGTACTTTTTTTTTTTCTTTAAAGTGTCTCTTTCTGTAAAGCCTTCTCTACAATGCTGCCAAAATAAGAGAGACCATAACTTTTCTTTTCATATGTGGGTGCCCAGAGTCTTTTCATTTCTCCAGCATAACTTGATCAGAAATTTTCCAGTAGACCTTCTGTAAGTGCATGCAGTATGGAGCAGAATTAGTATGTCTGGCCTTCAGATACTCAGTGTAAGAAGTCATTATAAAATTCCTCATTTCATGAAGGCTATCACGAAGCACAGGGTAGCATGTGTGTACGTTAAAGTTTCCAGAATTACAGGAAATAAAACAAGCACAACTACCTCATTTGGTTTCTTTTAAAGTACATTTAAAGTGCCAGTAAAAGCAAATCTACGTTTTGAAGATATGCCTGGAACAGATCTGTATGCAGTGGTCTGTATAAAAAATTTCAGTTAATTCTCAATGTAGATATGTAATGAAATATGAATGTGACAATTCTGAAACAACTTTTTTCTTCTTCCCCTTCTCCCCCTTTCCTCAAAGGTTACTGAAAATGATATTGTAATGGCAGAAAGGCTCTTCGGAATTCTGGCATACGTAGCATCTTCTGAGCTGCCACATTATCGCATGCTTTCGTTATTGGGAGAATCTAGGTAAAATACAATGAATAGAACTGGAATTTGTCCAGAACATATTGTTTATTTCTTTTGAGCACAGTTGTGATAAAATCTTTCTGGGTAAAAAGATAAAAATTTCACAAGTAACATCTTCTGGAGGATAGGTTCTCTGCTTATTGCAGAAATATTACTATCTCCTGATTCGTGTAACCAGAGGCTTTCACAGAAGTTGTGTAAAGTCTGCAGAGTAGGATTAAAAGGCACATGCACACAAATGTACTGCTTGTTTAATTCTCCAATTGTACTGGTAGTGGTGAAGATTTATGGACTTTCACAATGAAGACATGATTTTTAGTGGGTATTTTATAGTGTGTGCCTCTAACAGTTAATAGATTTAAGAGTTGGTGCTGGCAGAAAAAAGGTGCTTAAACTTTTTTTTAGTCTTCTATAGATACATAATTAATAAGTTTAAGCTCAATACTTCCTATTTAGGAGATGCTATGTGATGTATGTCAAAAAGTCAGCTATTTAATGGAGGAGTATCTAGAGTCATATGTATTTTGAGTAACTTGAGGATGCAATAAACTTGAAAACTCAAAGTATGTGTTCAAAGGGAGAAAAGAAAAAAAAAACTCACAATTGCTAGAAACATCTGGACTTTAAAATTTTCTAATAATTGAAACTCTAAATCTCTTTATTATCTTTTTACAGAAGGAAGCAATTCCATTACCTGCTGGAGGGAAAGGGAAAGAAATCTGGGACTGGGAGTGAGGAAGGTAGTGATAACAGAAGGAATGGAAGAGAAAGCACAACTCGAGCAATGCTGAATTACACAACAAAGGACTTACATATGGAAAAGCTTGAGGTATGTATATCATTATAAAATACTTGCATTATCTATAATATAACCTTAGACTACTACTCATGGAATTTGTTGTATTAAGTTTCAGTTGTGCTATTGAGAATGGTGGTTTTAAAATATCACTGCTTACCATATTTACACGTAGGATTGAACATTTAATCTAACTGATCTTTACCAGAATACTGAATAATGGTCAGTCTGTCTTTAGTGAAGTGGTTCCTAAACAGTGTCACAGTCTCAGAAATACATTCTCACCTACAAGCCTTATCTTTGTAATGAATTGTACCTGCATTAGTAAATATAAGAAGTGAGCACAATGTTTTACAAAGAAAAACGTATATTGCACGTTAGGATTTTCTAATGGGATTTGAAAGTCAGAAACTATAGCCTAAAATGAATTGATGAAGAACACCTTCAGACAAGATTTGAGATAGTGCGGACTGTAGTAATAAAGAGTTGTTGCCTTGCCTTTAAATGAGCTACAGGAAAACAGATATGTAGGAAATGTATTCGGTTTAATTATTAGTAAAATTGCAAGCTGGCTTGTTTCAGACAAGTGCATCAGTCACGCTTGTTTTAGTTTGCGTTTCTGATCTGTTAACTCTTTTGCTTGGGCAGAGGGAAATTGTTTCCAGGGAGAACATGCTTCTTTCAGCCCCAGTCTCTTTTCTGAGCAATCATCATGAGTTCTAGCTGTATGCACCCTGTTTCCCACATTTGTCCTGTTATTTACTTTTTGATTATGTGGAAATATATAAATCCTCTAGCACAAAAAATTAAATCAAGTTCAGTAAACACTGAATTCAGTTATTGCATTGTGGCTTTGTTTTCTCAGATGTATTGCATAAAAAAGAGAGTGTCTGCATATGTGGAGAGATTAAGAAAACATTTTCGTTTCAAAAGCTGTGATAGTAGCTCTTAAAGCTTTGAATGGCATAGAGTAAGACCCCGAGGCATTCCTCTTGTCCTCTACCATGGAACAACCACTACGATAAATTAAGCTTGCTATTTGTACAGTCCGCTAAATACATGCATTCTTTTCTCTTCCCAGTGCAGCAGTTCACACCTTGTCCTTTGTTATAGCATTATGTATGTGGCAGCAGATATTACAGGATGTCATGTGTGAAGAGTAAGGCAAAAAAGACAGATTCCTGTTCCACATCAGCAGTAAACTAACATAATAAATGTGATTGAATAAGTTTATTGCTGAAGGTGACAGTCTGAGTCATTGATTAATAATTTGGGTTTTTAGATGAAGCAGCTGGAAAGTATTTTCTCTGCTTTATCACTCATTTAAGAAAACTTCTGTTTTGATGGCCTGAAGCATGACCTAATATTTTTAACAGTGCCATAAATCAGACTAGTTAGATATCTAGCACGAATATAACTTACTGTTTAAAGCTTATCATGGTATTTTATAGAAGCTCTGGAGAAACAGTGATCAGTACAGTTTGAGTGACTAAAATCCAGAGCTGTTAGTTGCACAAACTGCAGTATTTTTTAATGATTTTTTAAAGGTTCTGGTTACTTCAGTATCTTAATGTAATACATGTTAGGAACGATGCACTTGCTAGAGTCCATCAGGGAACCTTTGGAAAGGATGCATACTGGCATATTTTTCATGACAATATGCTTAGTTCTTGTTAGGGCAGGTAGCTAAATAGATACTTTCCAGCCGTTGTACTAAAATCATGAAAACCTGGGAAGGGAAGTAGTCTGGTGCTTAATTTCTGTAAATTTTCACTGCTATTCTAGAACGTGACAAAAATCATAATGATGTTAAAAGATATTTACATGACTATTTAAAAGTGGGTTTCAGATAAATGAATGAATATAATATGAATATTATTAATCCAATGAGATTCTGTGGCCACACTCATAAAAGCTTGACTTAGACCCTGGGCTGTGCAACTTAAAGCCAAAAGGAAAAAGTGTGCAATGGCCTCTTTACCTGCTACTTGCTATGTTCTTAAAGTAATCAAATTTTTGTGGTTGTTTCTTGGATTTGCTTTTGTTTAATGTTTTCTTCCTTTGTCTTATACAATGTATAATGGTTCTCCCATGCAGGAAATCAAGGAGAGAAAAACATTTTGCCAGACGTACATCGAGAACTTAGTGAAAGAAGCAGCTGACATCAATATGAAAAATGAGTCGTTGCAGAAGCTCTGGCCTCAAATGTTCATTGAGCTTGTTAGAGATGCAGTGATAGAAATACGCAATAAAAATTCCTACATGAAACTCTGCTTACAGCGGATCACTGATCAAAAGGAGTAGAATCAAGGCTTGTTGTCTTGGAAGCTTTTGGTTTCAGTATTCTCTGATGTTTTACAAACTTAAAATAACAGAATATAAAATTACCATCACTATGGCATACTTCATCCCCCCACCCTCCAAAGGGATGCCTCTCAATCTTAATTAACTCTTGATAGTTTTGAAATCAAAGTTTACATGCATACTGCTTTAACAATGCTTCCTTGCCTAAAGTGATGAGATAGCACAGAAGTAACTTGGTGATTGTCATGTTTTACTAAGTTCTTGTTTATTTTTTTCTGCTACCCTTGTTTCTGTAGTGCTACAGCATTGATTTTTAAGGAACAAATTTGCACTCCTGTTGCCTTATTTTTTTATTGAACACTTTTCAGTTGTCACCTTTTTGACTGTTTGTTGCTGTTTAAAAAAAAAATCAAGAAGAGTAGCTGATTTTTTTATGATTAAAACCTAATAAATTATTTTTACACCCTGAACTTGATGAAGACCTATTATTGTTGTTTAATTTGTGAGATTATAGAATGTTTTCACATCAGTGCCATCAGAGTATATATCAACATTTAATGAGCCTAATTCTCAAGTGAACAAATTGCCCAAAGTTGATTTCAAGTGTTTTCCATTAATTTCATTTGTATTAGTTTGTGTGAATTATTATAGGTAAAATATGAATTTGAGCTATACTGAAGCTTTTTTGTTCTGTTAAAATATGTTAATAATATAATTTCTTTTGTTTCTTGATTACTAAATAATAAATTTTTGAGGTTTGCCAAGGTCAAATGAGCTCAAATGAATGCATTACATTTGGTCAGGAAACTGATGGTTACTATTCAGTTGTAACTAATTTCTATGACTGTGTGACAAGTTCGTTCTTGTTATCAATAAAAATAAGTTCTTCACTTTTGCCCTTCACAGATACTGTAAAGAAGTATTGTGTGCAAAGGAAAGGCTTGAAGAGATGAAGCACATCTTGCCCCCAAAATCAATTGTGAATGGGTAGAAAAAACCCATTCCATAGTACAATAACTTCCACTGTAAACACCTTGTCAGCTTTTGAAATGGAATTTAGGAACTGTTGGCAAGTCCAGCTAATTCCCGTGGCTAGTGTTCATGTGCAGGTAGAAAGCTGTGCCATTTAAACTTAATGTTATAGTTCCATTGTATCTTAAGTAAAAACAATCCAGAACCTTTGTGCATTCTTTTACTCCATTCAAATTGGTCTTATTTTACTTAAGCTCATTCATAAAAAAAAAGAAATGTTCACACTCCAAGAAAAATTCCTGCAGAGTTTCCATGGCTCAAAACTAAGTTTAGTTTAAACTTTACTCTGTGGCAAAGCAGAGACAGATGCAAATACAGTTTTGTAAGTTTCTATGCCCTGAAAATAGCCTTGAGTGAGTAGGAAGAGTCGGGTGGTCATAGGCATTTCGGAATATACGGTCTGTTTGCATTCAGATCAAGGTGGTGCACCTAAGTTGTCAATGAAGAATCTGTTTTCAGGGCATGTTACAGGTTAACAATGGCATGCATACTGTTAAATGGACTTTTCAATTTTGTTTTGTAGATGTGATCTTCCAGACATCCTTGTAGGTTGTTGTTTTTCAGTCTGTACAGAATTCAATGGAGGTTAAGTCACTTGAGTTCTAAGGAAATGTTAAAAGGCCTGGAGAAACTGCTCTAGCAGTTGACAGAATTTAATAGAAACAATCATTCCTCCAGGCTTTTTAAACTGCTTCATGGAATTTCTAGTAAGAATAGTGTATTTGATAGGATTTTTTTTTTCTTTCCATTGGAAAATTGAGCTCTCAAGTCTTATGGTGCATTTTATTAAGGGAACAAATTAAGACCCCGCAAATTGTGAAAAAAGGAGAGTTTATAGAAATACAGTCAATATAGAATTGACCACACAAAGGTTTTTTTGGATCCATCAGTTCCTTTACATCACTTCTGTGGAAAGGGGGTGGGTGGAGCAATTCCAGCTTCTGCACGGGGACAGAAACCTCAGCAGCTGTGTGAAAGTGCAGAAATCTCCTGATGATGTAGCTGGAGCAGATGGGCCCCTTTTGAAACAGATTCAGGAGCAATAAAAGACTGGAAAAAATTGTTTTATGAAGGGTGGATTGGTCTAGAGGAACAGGAAGTTCTCCATGGGAAAATCCAGAGAAAAGCCATACTTTCTGATAGTGAGGCTTTAGAAGCATAATCCTGATAGGAGGATTTAAGGTGGGGTCTTGCAAAAAACTAAGTGAAATGAATCAGAGGGTTTTGACTGTGAGTTGTAGAAACATCTCCTTAAAATGCTGCGTATTCCCAGCGGTCTGCGCATGCTGCCAGTTTGGACTTCTTTCACTAATAGCAGCTGTTTCATAACAGGATTGCTAAATGGCTGAAGTGAGGGCAGCTAGGCAGCTATTATAAATGGAGAAAAGATTAATGTTGGGCTACATATGTTTTTTTCACATAGGACCACTAGGAAGAAAAAAAACTTAGTTTTTTACTAATTCTTTTCAAGAAACAAGTGAACGATGGACTAAAGTGGTGTTAGACCTAGGAGTACCCAGAATTTGAAGCATCCAGGTGGTATTAAAATTGTTAGCATGCTCTATGTTCTTCATGTGTTTATCAGAATTATTTGTCAATGCATACAGACTTGTGGGATACAGCACTGTAGTTGCTTAGTAAGGAGTTTCTGAGTAAAATTAGAAGGTGGTATAAGCAGCAAATTCTTAGATCTTCTGGAACTCAAGTACTACATATATAAACTTTCTATGATTACAGATATTGAGGAGTTAAAATAGCCATTGAGTTTGAAACTGAGGATCTTTTAATAAAGCCTTTCAGGCTGCAAGCAGTTAATTTTTTTGCTTCAAAAGCCTTTAAATGCTGCGTAAAACTTAATTTTTATGTTGTTAATTTTTCATTGATATCCCATTCAAAATGGACTGTTGTGATCCCTTCATGGAGCCTGACTTTCTGCACAGGACAGGAGCTACCATTGTAAAAATTCCATATGTTAACTAGAAATCATCTTAAGAGATAAAAAGATACAATTTAAATTTTAAAATCTCTTGAAAACTTTTTTTACATTGATTTTTCAATTGTTTATACCATTTCCTTATTTTCTGAGATAAACTTCCTCTGTGTCCAGATAAGGGCAGATAATGATGTGTATCTTTTTTTTTCTTTTTTTTTCATTTTCAGTTTAGCCCTATCGTGCATGCAGGCCCTGTTATGTCATGCAGAGTAGTTGTTTATTATGCAACTGAAGTTTGATCTTCTGTAACGAGACTGATGAAGAACTGTATTTCATATACTCCCTTTGATACAGGATCGGAAAAAATAATAGAGCTGCAGATATGCTGCCACAGTGGAACAAAGGGAGAAGTGGTTCACTTGATGTGCAGACCAAAAGCTGAGCCTGTCGGGTTTGAGGGGAAGAAAGGAACTGGGAAGAGATTTTAACTGAGCATCATAAAGCAAATAAAACTACTGCTTGGGAACAAGTGTTAGATCTGAATCTGGAAATAGCTGAAGATTTGTTTTCTGGTCTGTGTAGATCAGTGATACAAAAGCAAAATATCTTGTTCCACTGCTACAAATGGTCATACTTTTATCATGTAAACTATTTAAAATAATAATGATAACAACAAGAGGTTAACCTATTAAAACACCGGCCATCTGCAGATTAAGTTAGGCTATTGTGCAGACAGTAGTGGGCCCACAGTCTATGGATACATTCTGCAAATTCAGGACAGTGAACTACTTTTTTTAATCAGAGCTGTAGGCTGCAAGAGACAGACACTGATGCGTTCTGTTGCTACTTTTTATTGTAGTGGCACATCAGGATGAACTGCTTTTTGCTAGCTATTTTATTTAAAGAAGCTGAGGCAAGTACTGGCTATTTCATCTTATTAAGCAACATTCACAAAGATGTGATTTAGATCAGTGTGCATATTCAGAATCACAATAATAACTCTTTGTTTTGATTGGGAAAACAGTCTGCTTGAGTATGTTTCCGTTCCCATATCACACAAACTACTACATCTTGAAGTCCAGTTTCAGTGAAATTGTTTTTCTCTTTAGTTTAAGTTGGAGGCATCAGTCGTTTGGGGATTTGTAAGAAGTGGTGTTCTGTTACACGTGTAGAACAAGGAAAGGGAAAAGAGGAGATGAGCTATCATGTTGCTCTATAGCGTGGTGAAGTTGCTTTACTCAAAAGTGGATAGTAAAGAGTGTTGGGTATGCAGACTTTAAAAAATCTTGCACAATGCTAATTAGTTTCTGCTTATACACATCACCTCAGAGCTGGATTTTCTTGAGCATGAGCTGAAAGAACTTGAATCTAAGGGTGTTTATACAGACCAAGTATCTAATTTTGTTGGCTGACTTTGCTAGGCTTCTGCTCTCAGGGGAAGACAGATAACCTCATCTGGAGGAACTCTTCTCTCTGTTTACTGTGGTGAAAACAGCATTTCTTTACGAGCTGTGTACCGGACCTCATATGCCATGCTTGTGTACGGATGGAGTGGACAGATGCTTCTGCTTATTGTATCAAATGTCAGGAAGCCCTGGTGAAGAACTGGGAGATCTTAATGGGGGAAAAACGGAATTGTTTGGTTTTGGTGGGGCTTTTTTCAGTTATAGATAGATGTATTGCAAGCAGAAACATACTTGACTGATAAAAGGACACTGAGTGTAAAAAAACCAAAACAAAATCCAAAAAACAACGCCCAAAACCCCAGAGAACTGCAGGTTAGAATGTTTATGCTAAATCTAGCATTAGAAGTTTCCAACATCCCCAAAAAAGTGTTTGTACAAGACAACCCTGTATTCCTTACTGACTACATGGACTTAAGGAGGCCCTTAAACGTAACTGTTTTATCCAGCTTTTTGGAAACTACAAATTGGTGGCTTTATGATTGCTCTGGACTTTGGTTGGTACAGTATAAAATAATGTAATCAAGACAGCAGGATCAGATTTCTTGGTCCTGTGATCTGTTGGCTACTAGGATGACAATGCTTAGTCCCACCTTCTGTTGCAATCTTCCTAATTAGGCAGCTACTTCCATATTACGGAAAATCTTTTGTGTGATGTTCGTTTTTATTATATAGTGCGTGACATCTAGTATATTGCTACATCCATAGGTGGGGTGCTTTCTAGTTTCAGACAAACTATTCCTTTCATGTTTGTTTGACTGGTATGGGTATCCTGGAGGTTAAATGCTGCTCTTAGCAGTACTTCATTTTACACCGAACAAATCTGGAACTTGACATGAGCACATTGTTTCTGGAATACTATACATGGATAACATAAA